GGTGTCACATACTTGTTGCATGTCTGTGATGGGCAAATGCTTGGAAAATAATTACAGGTGAATTATGTGTTTGAAATTAGACTTTTGTTATGGGGAGAAGGCAAAATGCATGTAGAGCAAAAGCTGAAAAAATTAAGGTGCTCAGATGAAAATGAGTAATCATGAAAAGGAAAGACGAGCCGAGGGGATTCATGAAGACCCAGGTCAGGAAACAGGTGAGAATGCAATGTGGAGTTGTGAGGAGTCACCTGTGATTCAGTGAGGCCCTGGCATTTTGTGATGGAGAACAATTAAAAAGGCCTTTATTTCTGCAAAGATCAGTAGAGCCCAAAGCATGAGTTTTAGGTAGATACTGAAAAGGAGAACAGAGATGAAAATGACATTTCCTGTGTACCTCTAGTTTTGGGAGCTATTTGGAAAGCCAGGGCTGGAAGGCAATGAAATCTGGAATCTGGCAAAAATTAACTGTAATACCTACCAAGTCCACAAAGAATTTATTGCCATTGGAGCTTAATGGATAAGAGCCTGAGTTTTGGATTCCATCCTCCTCGTTTCAAATGTTGGTTCTGCCACTCAGCAACTGTGTCACTCAAGGCTTAAGTTATTTAGCCGTTCTGTACCTCAGTTTTCTCATTTATGAGACCGGGTTAGTGTATCTCAGGATTTCTATGAAGAATAAAAGAAAATTTAGAACAGTAGCTGGTACATAGTAATGCTCAGGAAATGTTAACTCTTATAATTATTATTGTCAAGACTGAGCTAGTTATTTACTGTCTAATATCAGTAGATGACAAACACATAGATATCAGAGCTCAGTATACAAATGAGAGCTGATAGCCCTCAGAGGAACAGATTTAAGGAGTAAGGGCTGTGTTTCAAGAATGAAAAATCTGACAAAATTGGGGAGTTTCCCATGGGTTTCCCTTGGCAGAACCAACATTTGAAACTAGGAGGATGGAATCCAAAACTCAAGCTCTTTATCCGTTAAGCTCTAATGGCAATAAATACTTTGTAGACTTGGTAGGTATTACACTTAATGTTTCCTTGACTTTGAATTTTTTTTGCCAGATTCCGGATTTTATCTCAGACCATCATTTTGTACATGTAGGAGTGCTTCCTTTTCAGGTAGTGTAAGAAGCTTCCTGTATTAGTAGCAACTTAGACCAATATGTTTTTATGGGACGGAGGAAATGTTTGTGATGGCAAGATTTTTTGGTGTCAACCTGGTTTGTAGCTATGATTCGTACCATAACCCAATCATCTGTGCTTAAGGGTTTAGAAATTAGTATGTTATTCTAGCATAGTGAAGATTTCGCCACTATCTTAAGGATTGTTTTACCTGGCTAAATAATTAAAAACATTTTTTAAAGACTTTAGAAAAGGAAGAAACAAGTCATGTTGAAGAACTACAATCTGAAGAAACTGCTATTTCTGATTTCTCTACTGGTGAGAATGTTGGACCACTTGCTTTACCAGTTGGGAGAGCAAGGTAAGGTTTTTCTTAGTGTCAGGGTAGGAGTAGGGCTCGAGGGCAGGATTTAAATTGAAGCATTCTTATCAGCCTTGGAAAAAAATATGCTTCTGGCTCAGATCCCTCCCTCTCTCCCTCCTTCCTCCTCTAGTTAGATGTATACCAACTCCAAGGATAGCTGTACTTGAATGTCCCATAGTATCCCAAACACGCCCAAGAACTGCCCGTCTTCCCTTTCTCCACTCCCCTAGACCATTTATTAGTGTCACTTCTTGACTGTTTTCCTTGTGTCTCATCTGGTTGCCCTCCATTCTTGCTTCCACACTGCTGCCAGAAGAATCTTTATAAAATGGAAGCCTGATAGCATGGCTCCCCTGCTTAAAGATCCTTCAGCGGTTCTGGTTGCCTCATGATGAACTACAACTTCCTTATGAGTGATGCATACGGGCCTTCATTGTCTAGTCCAGTGGTCCCCCACCAGGGGTGCCATACCCAGTGGGCATATGGAAATATGCAGAGTACTTCTGGGTTGTCACAGTGACTGAGGGGAGCTATTGGCTTGGGCCACAGATGGTAAATGTCCTGTAATGTATGGGGCTCTGCTGCACGGCGAGGAATTAACCCGCCCAGATGCCAATGGTGCATGCCCCGGTAGAAACCCTGCCTGTCTGCTTTGCCAGCTTCGCTTCTGCCTCTCCCTGTGTAGCCATGTGCTGTTCCCTCTGCCTGGCCTCCCTCACCTCCAAAATCAAAAAGTCTCCTGTCAAGGGGCTCTGGAGCATATAGTCATAGAGGTAGTATTAGAGAATAATGACTGTAATGACCATGTTCCCAAAGTGGCTTTCCTTCATGGTTTTTTTGTTTGTTTTACTATGTAGAAGCTTTCAAAGTCTTTTGTTTCATGACTTCTTGATTTTAAGTCATATTTGGCCTTTTTTTTTTCTCTTCCTCGACTTAAACATTTATTTGTATTTTCTCCAGCCAGTGTTTGTTTGGGTTTATCCATATGCTTATCATTTCTTTGCTCTCCATTTCTTGCATGTCAGACCTTCCTTCTGGGATTATCGTGTCTCCTTTTAAGTACAATCCCTTAGAAATTCCTTTCTCGAACATCTGTTGGTAATAAATTCAGTTTTCATCTCTGAAAAATTTCAAGCCACATATTTTGGTAACTTTTAATTTTGGTACACTTTGAAGTGTACAGAAAAGTCAGAAGAATAGAACGGGAACTTGTGTGCACCCTTAGCCCAGATTCACATTGTGCCGCATCTGCTTGGTCGTTCTCTCTGGGCGTGCTCTTCCTCGTTTCCTGCGCCCCCATCTGTTAGGGGGCACGTTTGTTCTCCCTAGTTCTTGTCCCCACCCGGACGAAGAATTGAAAGGCAGAGACACAGCAGTGAAGCAGAGTGAAAGTTTTATTTGAATTCCCGCCAAGGTAGGTAGTAGCCCTGATCCCTCAGGTGGGCTGGGGGGCGCCTCTCTGATGGACCAGGTGGGGTCGTCTGACTTCCAGGTCCATCTATATAGCCATCCCTCTCCTTGCACATGTCCTTTCCCGTGTTGGCGTGTGCTTTGGGCAGTTCTTAGTTTTGTTCAATTGTGCCCAGGTTGGGATCTGGTTGGGACCAGTTTGGACCAGACAAGGAAGTTCTCTCCCTGCAAAGCCTTTGTTGTCTTCACTTGGGACCCCCTACCTGGGCAGAGTTTGGGTGGGTTTTTTCCTTGGACCTTATCTTCCCTTTCCCCGGCTACTCATGTCTTGCTTTCTACCTGACGTTCCTAACACATCTATATGATAACACACACATTATACTTTTTTAATGAAATATTGACAGTATGTTGGAGATACTGTGCTCCTTTACCCCTAAATATTTCACTGTGTATTTCCTAAGAACAAGTACATTCTCTTACATAACCATAGAACAATGATCAAAATCTGGAAATTTAACATTGTTCAAATACTACTATCTAGTTCACAGTCTATATTCAAATTTCTTTACGTGTTCTAATGCCTAAAGACCTCAAGGATCTTTTCAGGAGGTTACTGGCTCTACATTTACAACCCTGTCCCTAGCTTTATTATGATTTTACTGACTTGTCCTACTTGGTCTTTTGCTTAATCTCACAGCCTGCTTCACCCCCACTGCCCCTCTACCCCTGCCTTGTGGAACTCCCTGCTTGTAGCAGCTAGGATCCTGTCACACTGTGTCACTTTCTGGTGCCTGTGTCTTCATCTGCCTGGTGTGCCCTTCTCCCACTTCTTCACTGGGTGAAATATTTATGTATTTTGCCACGTAATTTCCAGATTTTTGTTTCTAGGGTACTGTGATTTGTGATTTATAATAAGAAACATATTTGGTCTTTGTCCACTGTTCCTGGCACAGAACTCCTAAAACTCTGAGGAGAGCCATAAAGTTGTCTTTTGTTATATTAATGAGGCAACATTTCAAAAAACCTTAAGTAGCCAAAGGATGGGGCTGGTTGCCAGGGGAAGGAGCCCTGTGGTTAGAGGGTTAGATCGTTCAGTGCCAGCCACCGATGCCAATGATTTAGTCAACCCTGCCTATGTGGTGACGGTTCCATAAAAGCTGAAAGGAGGTTTGGAGAGCTGTTGGGGTTGGTGAACACGTGCAGATGCAGGCAGAATGGCACGCAAGGAGAGGGCATGGAAGCTCCTCGCCCTTTCCCCACCCCTCACTCTGTGCATCTCTTCCACCTGGCTGTGCTTGAGTTACATCCTTTTATAGTAAACCAGTAATCTAATAAGTGAAATGTTTCCCTGAGTTCTGTGAGCCACTCTAGCAAATTAATGGAACCCAAGAAGAGGTTTGTCAGAAGCATGGGTGGTAACCTGGACTTGCCTTTGGCATCTGAAGGGGTGGGTGGCAGTCTTGTGGTACTGAGCCCTTAATCTGTAGGATCTGATGCTATCTCTGGTTAATAGTGTTAAATTGAGTTGAATTACAGGACACCCAGCTGGTGTCTGAGAATTGCTTAGTGTGAGGAAAACCCCACACATTGGCATTGGGTGCAGAATATTAATTGGTGATCAGAAGTGGGATCAGAGTTAGAATTGTAAGTTCCCTTCATGATATCTTCGGAAAAGAAAGCTCTTGACTGACAATCTCTACTTATATATTTTTTCCCACTTTTGTCTTCCAGGCAGTTAATTGGACTTTACACTATGGCTCACAATCCTAATATGACCCATTTGAAGATTAATCGGCCAGTTACTCCCCTTCCTCCTCTTTGGGTGAGGTGTGACAGTTCAGATCCTGAAGGTACCTGTTGGCTGGGAGCTGAGCTTATCACAACAAATAGCAGCATTACAGGAATTGTCTTATATATGGTCAGTTGTAAAGGTGAGCGTTCACTGTTTTTACTTTTATGGGGGTGTGGATATTTATTTATTTGTGTGGTTATATGGTTTTTATTGGAAACTGATGTACTCTTTAAGAGGGAGGGACACAGTGGAACTTGTTAGCCACCGTGAATCTACTCTACTGTACGACTGCAGCATGTAGGAGATACTCCAGAAGCATATCTCTGAGAGTCTGAACCGGACTTTATGGCTGTTTTGTTTGGGTTTCATTTGCCTTTTTTTTTTTTT